CAACCCCCCACTACTCCCCCAGCCCCCCTACCCCACCGCCCCTGTCCAAATGCCCCAAACAACCCACACTGCGCCTCCATTGTCCCCCCACCTAAGTGGGAGGCAGTGGCCGGGATGTGTCATCCCAGGGGAGCGGGCTGAGAATTGGGGTCACCCTTCCCCCTGGAACCCCACTTCTGGGGCACTTCCGCCCCTCACGAGCATGGCGGCGGCACGCCTCAGGCAGAACTTCCGCCCCGCACCAACATGGCGGCTCCACGTCGTACTTCCGCCCCGCACCAACATGGCGGTAGCATGCGCCCCTTCCGCCCCGCACCTATGGAGCGCCGGAGGGCTGCAGCCTTGCTTTGCCATGCCGACCAGGGGGTGTGGTCCGGGCGGGAGAGGCGCGCGCTCACCGTGCAGCAGGTTGAAGCGGAGGAAAAGCTCGTCGTAGCAGCGCTCGGGCAGCAGGTGCGGGACCAGCAGCCCCTGCAGCGCCGCCGCCATTTTGAAAAATGGCGACACTCCCACACCGGCTTTGGCGGCGCTTCCGCCTTCATGGTGCCCGTGTTCCTACGGCGCAGGCGCGGAGGCGCCCGCGGATCCACTCACTGCGCACGCGCCAGCCGCCCCGGAGTCGGTGCGCGCGCGGGAACCTCCCTGAGTTACACGCCTTGTGCGCACGCGCCCGCACTCCCCCCGCAGATTCCCCCCTCCGCAGTAGGCAGGCGCCTGTTTCGCGCCCGCTCTCTGCGGCGCATGCGCAACGGAGGGGGGAGACAAAGGGGAAGCGCGGGCAAAGCCTAGTATGCGCCATGTGTCTGATGGGGCACGCATGCGCCCAGCCCTTCCACCGTCCCCATTTCCTCCTCGCGCATGCGCCCAGCCCTTCCACCGTCCCCATTTCCTCCTCGCGCATGCGCCCAGCCCTTCCACCGTCCCCTGTCCTCCTCGCGCATGCGCCGTTCCCCCCTCAACCATCTCCCATTCCTCCCCGCGCATGTGCTCTTTCCTCAAACCCTCCCCTTCTTTCCCTTCCCGCGCATGCGCCCTAGCGCCCCTCCCCCCCACTCCGTCACCGCCTTGACCAAACTTTGGCCAACCCAAGATGGCCGCCCCAGCTCCGCCATCTTGCCCGCTCCCTGCCCTGAGCCGGGGGGCCGTGGCCCTCTGCCTCCTCTACTACCTGCGGCTGCAACGGGGCCGCCGC